TAGTGATGAGCCCTATTGTGGGTCTTCTTCACTTATTGGGGACTCAGAGGGTCCTCTCATTCTGAAGACTCATGGCCTTCATTTCCAGGAAATTTTTGGGAATTCTATGATAATTTTCTTCCCTTGATTTTCTCTTTTTAATCATTTGTGGGGGGCACCTGGGTGGATCAATTGGTTAAGCATCTGACTATGGCTGAGGTCATGATCTCAGGGTCCTGGGATCAAGCCCCGTGTCCTCGGGGAGTCTGCTTCCCCCTCTCTGTCTGCTGCTCCCCCTGTTTGTGATCTCTCTCTCTGTGTCAAATAAATTAAAAAAAAATCTTTAATCGTTTGTGGAATTCTTATTAATAAGATGTCGGATCTCCTGGAGCAATCTGGTCTGACTACTTTATCTTTTTTGTTCCACTTTACGAGAAATTGTCTCATCTTCCAACTCTTCTAATGAAGTTTTTATTTCGTTTGTCATATATTATTTAAATTTTTGGACACCCTTGCTTGTTCTCAGAATATTCTTTTCTTATAGCACCCTGTTCTTGTTTTATAGATGCAGTATTTTATCTCTCTGAGAACAAGGACATTTTCTTCTGCCCTTTGTATTGTCCATTTGTTTTAAAGGCCTCCAGCTGTTCATTTGGTTTGTTTGCTGTCTGTCCATGGGGGCTTTTACCCCCAAAGATCTGCTGATCCTTGGCTGTCTGCTTCTGTTTAAAAGTAAGGCACTAAGAAGCTCATTTATTTTTTTTAAAGATTTTATTTATTTGAGAGAGAGAACACAAGTGGGGGTGGGGAGGGAAGGGGCAGAGGGAGAAAGAGAAGCAGACTCCCCGCTGAGCAGGGACCTGGACTCAAGGCTTGATCCCAGGACCCTGAGATCATGACCTGAGCTGAAAGCAGATGCTTAACCAACTGAGCCACCCAGGTGCCCTAAAAAGCTCATTAAAAAAAAAAATGTCCTAAGAAGCTCTGGGTGTGGCTGTGGGCTTGTCAATTAGTGACTTCATTGGCTCATTGGCAGGAACCTGGTCATTTCATGGAGGAGCCCATAACTTCTATCAGTATCTGTAGTCTGTTCCCTTTGGCTGATCAGTCTCCCCAGCCTCTCTCTAATTTTCTGCTTGGAGGTTGAGCTGGGCTGTACAAGTTCTGGCCCAAGGGGTTGTGAGCCCCACACCGCATGATTTAGACTTTCCCTCAGCCGCATTCGCAGCCAGGGATTAACCGCCACCAGCACTAGGTTTCTCTCAGAACTCTGAGTCCCAAAGTCAGATGTGCACTGAATCACCTAGGGACCTTGTCCAAGGCAGATTCATGTCCAGATGCTTGTCTAGCATTCCTGATGAGGCCCGAGACTCTGCATTCCTAACAAAGTCCTCAGAGCTGCTGATGCTTTTGATACAAGGGCCACATTTTGGATGGCCGGTGTCTAGAGCCATGCTGCCCCATATAGCTTTATGCAGTGGTGGACACATTCTAGCCCTATGCTGACCAACCTGGAACCACGAGCCACCATAAATAGTCAGCACTTGAAATATGGCTGGGAGGACTAGAGCCCTGAACTGTAATTTTTTTTAAAGATTTTATTTATTTATTCATGAGAGACACACAGAGAGGCAGAGAGACACAGGCAGAGGGAGAAGCAGACTTCCTGCAGGGAACCTGATGCCGGACTCGGTCCTAGGACCCCAGGATCATGCCCTGAGCCAAAGGCAGATAGATGCTCAACCACTGAGCCACCCAGGTGCCCCCTGAACTGTAATTTGTATTTAACTTTAGTTTTCATTTAAATTTAGGTGGCCACATGTGGCTCTCACGTTGGGCAGTGCAGATCTACCTCCTGAATCACTCTGTAGAGGTGAACTTCCTGAATTGTTCAGGATATGGGAGGCCTATGGTGAGGGTGGGGTGGGGGGTCTGGTGGGGCTGGAACTGAGGTGCTCCTCTTACAAACTTTCATCTTCCCTTTTTTAGTTCCACATGGCACTCAACTTTTGATGGCATCTGTTGCCACCCATTCGTGAGCTTTCCTGAGCTTCTTCAGCACAATCTATTTTATTGTCCCCCCTGCCCCTGGCCACCCCAATCTCAGCCTTTTCCAGGCTGCAAAGTCACACACAACCATAGGCGTGTCCAGCTTTCAAGGCTCAATCGGCCTCTCTCCAATGTGGTTTCTTCTCTGCTTTCCCTTCGGCCGTGTGGACTTATACATCTTCATTCCCTTACTGTCATCACAGGGGATTTGAGGAGGACACAGAGATGAATGCTGTTGTCCCCCTGTCTGCTCTGTGTAACCCAAAGCCCCTCCACAGTTTTGTTTTTAAAGACTTTATTTTTTAAAATCTCTACACTCAATGTGGGGCTTGAACTAACAACCCCAAGATCAAGAGTCACAGGCTCTACTGGATAGAACCACTCAGGTGCCCCCCCCCACCCGCTGCAATTTTTAAAAAATAAAAACAGTTCTGGGGGCACCTGGGTAGCTCAATCAGTTGAGCATCCAACTCTTGATTTCAGCTGAGGTCATGATCTCAGGGTCATGAGATCGAGCCTTGTGTCAGCTGGTTCAAGTCTTACTTGAGATTCTCTCCCTCTCCCTCTGCCCCTCACCCTGCTCACGCCCACAATCAATCTCCCTCTCCCCCTCCCCCTCCCCCTCTCCCTCCCCCTCCTCTAATTAATTAATTTTAAAAAATAGTTCCCAAACTTTGTTTCTCCCAGGAAGCTGAATCTGTTCTTTTACCTGTCATTTGCTTATGGGCCAGGAGATTTGTCACACCCAGGAGCCTGGAGAAACCATCCCTAGGTCACTGAAGAGCCTGCGAGCTGTTGGGGAAAGTCAAAGGCTCTACCTGTCTGGGGAGAGGGAGCCTGGCTAACCCACTCAATGTGGTTTCTCTATTCTCTGAAGGGACTAGGGGGCTCAGGTGAGACCGGACAGCTGATGGCACCTTGCACACCAGAGCAAGGCATGTTTAAGACTGAAGACTTTCTTTTTTTTTAAAGATTTTATTTATTTATTCATGAGAGACACAGGGAGAGAGAGGGGGGCAGAGACACAGGCAGAGAGAGAAGCAGGCTCCATGCAGGGAGCTTGACGGGGGACTCAATCCCAGGTCTCCAGGATCACACCCTGGGCTGAAGGTGGCGCTAAACCGCTGAGCCACCTGGGCTGCCCAAGACTGAAGACTTTCAAGGTGCCTGGGGGCTCAGTGGTTGAGCGTCTGCCTTTGGTTCAGGGCGTGATCCTGGGGTCCTGGGATCGAGTGCCGCATCGGGCTCCCTGCTCAACAGGGAGCCTGCTTCTCTCTCCGCCTATGTCTCTGCCTCTCTCTCTGTGTCTCTCATGAATTAAAAAAAAAAAAAAAAAAAAAAAAGGACTGAAGACTTTCTAAGCCCTTGGCAGGGAGATTTGGAAAGGGAAAAAGGGAAAATTGAGAATGGTTATCAGTTACCTAATAAATCACACAGATGGAACCTAATCCTGGCAGGCAGGGGCTGGGCTGGGGTGGCCCTTTGGGACAGATGAACTACAAACAGAGGTGTTTGAAGCTTAGGTTGGAGGTAGGTGCTGAGGCTTCCAGGAAGAATCAGCTTGTGTGGCAGGGAATGAGTCAGGCTCGCCCAGTTGCCCCCGAGCCCACCCCCACCCCATGCCCCAGCCAGCTGCTCCAAGGTCTCTGGACTCTCTCTGTCCTCTCCACAGCACTTCTCCCAATGCTCCCTCCCTATGCGTACTGGTGCCCACCACTCCCTGGATATGTGATCCCTCTCTGCATCCCCCACGGTGGCAGAAAATGTCTCCTGAGGCACAGTGGAAGAAGCACAAGTGGATTGAGTACAAATCTTGAGGTCAGAGAGATGAGAGTCTAAATCCTATGTCTCAGGCTGAATGTTGGCCCCCAGTGGTCACCACGTCCTAATCCCCAAAACCTCGGACCATGTTCCCTTATGTGGCAAAGAGGCATTGGCAGGTGTATTAAGTTAAAGGTTATGAGATGGGGAGAGTAGCCTGGATTACCCAGGTGCAGCCAATGTAATCACAAAGGTCCTTAGAAGAGGGAGGCGGGAGAGCCAGTAAGAGGCTTCACGATGGAGGCAGAGGCCAGAGACAGAGAGATAGAAGATGCTCCACTGTGAGCTTGAAGGTCAGGGTGGAGGATGGGGCCATGGGCCAGGGAATGTCAGTGACCTGCCCCCAGCTAGAAACAACAAGGAAACAGATTCTCTTCTAGGGGCTCCGAAAGGAACACAGCCCGGCCAACACCTTGATTTTAGCCCAGTGAGCCGGATTTTAGACCTCTGACCTCTAGAGCTATAAGAAAATTAATGTGTGTTAAGTCACTTCGTTGGAGGTCGTTTGTGACAGCAGCGCTAGGAAATAAAGGCCTGCTAGCTCTGCTGTATCTTAGCACCAGGTACCTAACCTCTCTGAGCCTCATTTCCCTCCTCGGGAACAATAGAGGTAACATACGTGAGAAAATACACACGAAGTACTCAGCATGGTAGTGGGGACGCAGGAAGCAGCGGAAGGACTGACAGCTGTTTGTGGTCACCGTCATTGTCACTACTGGTCATCTGTCCACAGGTGTAAGTACAAACCGGACATTTTCTTTGTTGTCTAGACTCTCTGGGGTAGAAAGGATAGGGAACGGTCAAGAGATCCTGGGGCGATCTGCCTCCCAGAAGACACTTGGAAAGCCTAGAGATATTTTTGGTTATCACAGCTGGGGGTGCTGTCGGCAGCTAGTGGGCAGAGGCCAGGGATGCTGCCAACCATCCTGCAACGACCAGGGCGGCCCCTGCGACTCAGGATTATCAGATGTAAACAGGGCCATGGTGAGGAACCCTGCCATCCTCTGAAGGTTTGTTATACCTCTTGGGCTCACAGTATCAACAAGTAGAAAGAAGAGTGAGCACAGCCCTGGCCCAGCAGGGCCACTGACCCTCAGGGTGTCCCCAGGAATATTGCTTACCTCCTGGGAGGCTTGGCAGCCATGGGCACTTTCAAGGTAGAAGCTCTGAGTTCAAGACTCAGCTCCTGCGCTCGCTTGCTGTGAGATTTTGGGTAAGTTCCTTAACTTCTCTGAGCCTCTGTTTCCTGTCAGCAAAGTGGACATAGAAAGACCTGCCCTGTGGTGTTGATTAAACAAGAAAACGTGTAGAAGCCCAGTGCCCAGTGCTTTGTCAGTGTCTCCTTAAATAGTTTGCTTCCCTTCCCGACCAGCATGTCAAGGGGGTATTATTTCCCTTTCACATAGTCCCTTAGGAGGCATCAACTTTTTAAACTTTTAAGCTTTCTCCCCCTTGGGGACAGTAGGACACAAGGAGACTTACATGGGGGCTCAGTGTGGTTTGAGTACTCTGGGGAGCTGGCCATTGGCTTGCACCCCAAGACTGAGGGGCAGAAGGAAGCCACAGGTCACATTCCAGCTCTGGGTCGGTCTCAACCACAACGCCCACAGGTCTCCCTCCTGCTGACTCCTGGCACAGCCTGTGCTGCCTTTTTGGCACAGGGCACAAATCTGCCTTGTGACCACTTTCATCTGGGTTTTCTATTTATAACTCTTAGTGCATGGAACTTATCAGGCTTGCAGGTCTTGGTTGGAAGCTCTTTGGGGGCACCTTTCATGATAGTGTGGGCCACGAAAATCAGAATAAAGGATGTTCAAGCCAAAATTTGACAGGGTGGGTAAATAGGACTTAATAGATGTGGTGGGCCTGAAATCTGGACTTCTGGATCCAAAGGCCACTGCTTTTTCCGTAGGACTTCAATATGATATTGATTAGGCACCTCCATGATCACTGCTGGGGGGGGGGGGTGATCCGCACTCAGTATTGGTTGGAGGAAAGATCTTAAAGGAACCAACTCCAGGGGCACCTGAGTGGCTCAGTCAATTGAGCATTAGCTTTCAGCTCAGGTTGTGATCCCAGGGTTCTGGGATCAAGCCCCACCCACATCAGTCTCCCTGCTCAGCGGGGAGTCTGCTTCTCCCTCTCCCTCTGCCCCTCCCTCCTGCTTGTGCATTCTCTCTCTCCCTCTCTCCCTCTAATAAATAAAATCTTTAAAAAAAAAAAAAAGGAAACGATTCCACTTCCATCCTCTGTGTCTGAGCTCTAGGGATGTGATCCCCATGGTCTTTGAATCCCTCTTACTGTTCTGTACACGGTGGGCCCTGGTTGAATGAATGACAGGGAAAATGGATAGAAGAATGAGTAGAAGGATGAAGGTATGTTATAGTAGATGGATGGGTGGGCGGGTCCAGGCGTGGATGGGAGGATAAAAGAATGGATAAATACATGAAACAAGAAATGTACTTCCTAATTTCTGGAAACCAACCATGAGGAATATGTATTCAGTGTGTAATTGTGTGTGGCCCCAAGTTCAGGGGAGCAGGAAGCCAATTCAGACCCCACCTTTGGGAGCTGTGACACACAGGACAAAGTCATGCAGGCAGGGCAGATGGGGTGGGGGTGACAATGTGAAACCCAACATGAGTGGAGAATATGGGTGGTGGCCATTGAGGATTCAGGCAGACTCGGGTCACCATGTAGCCAACAGAATGTTTGAAGGTTCGTTCCTGAGAGTCCCATTAATGCTGCTGCCAAGTGAAATCCCCTCTGCAGAGCTCTCCCTGGTTTTTTCCAGCTGCCTTTGAGGAAGGATTCCTGCTTTCCAGTCAAAAATTGCACATGCTGTCCTCCTTCTCCTAATGTCCCCAGAGTCAATATCTGCAAGGAAGGATGAGCTTTTGGAAGACACTGGTTCTCAAGTTAAGCTACGAATGACTATAATGCAATAGAACCACAGATTTGAAAGGCCCTTAGTGATCACCCCCAAACTGGACCATTGTATAGACAGGAAAACCAAGGTCCAGAGAAGGGAGAGGACTTTCCAAAGTCACATGGCCAGTCATTGGCAATGGAAACCCTGCTCTCCTGCTTCTCACCCCCAGTTATGAATCTGTGGCATGCCCTTCCCCTGTCCATCCGGCAACCCCCTTGCTCTACCAGCCCCATTAGGATTTTTGCCTTCCTGGTGGAGGTTTTACTATTCCTCAGTGGAAATGAAAGAGAAAGTCAAACCCTCCAGAAGCTGTAGTGAATCCCTCTTCAGATCCCCCCTTGGGACAGGGCTTCACGGTCCGGTTCTCTGACCGCCCTGTACATGAGTTTGACCAGATGCAGCTAACACTTACCAGGTAGAGAACTGAGAGCTCAGGTCCAAGGAGAACAGGGAGAGCACAGACTGAGGACAGAAGAGAAAGGAGAAGAGGGGCCAGGAGCTGAGCTTTACCACTCACCCACCATCCACCAGGCACTGCCACGAGTAATTCTATCTCACTGATTCTCTCACCCTAGGAGATAGCAGGTATTATCCATGCCTTCCAAGTGAAACCACTGAAGCCTACAAAAGTGCCTCGGCTTATAGGGCTGGTCGGAGATGAGGCCAAGATGAAAACCCAGACAACCTGACCCCAAAGCTCCCGCTGGGTCATGAGCTTATAGACAGTGTGCCAGGAGAACACGACCAGGAAGTCCTCCAGAGCCACCCACGAGGAGCTGGACTTTCTCTCCTGAGGGCCCACATCAATAAGGTCAAGGCGAACAGGGGCCAATGCAAAGTCTTGCACTTAAGTTCAAAATGACATTTGCACAAGAGCGTAATGGAGACCTGGTTACTGGGCAGCAGCTGATCATAATATTGCCCCGTCATACTGCAGCTGCTATTGCCTTATATTTCCAAAGCACTTTGCAGTTTAGAAAGCCCTTCTACTTGCCGACCTCAGGCCTTTGATTGACCATAAACAAGCATAAGAATAAGTCTGGAAAGGGTTTTGAGAGTATATCAGTAGGGTGTGTATGAGCACCTGTGACTGCCTGTAAGGGTAATGAGCTATTTGTTTGCATTAATCCAGCATAGTATCAATAGACTTTGTGCACAGCCACTGTGCTAAATATATTACATGTTTAACCCATGCAGGACATGATCATCGTAAAGATCGTTTGAAGGAGCTTAGAATATTTGCCCTGGGAAAAAAATAATCAGAGAACATACCATTGCTGTTTTCAAGGGCAGAAAGCTCTTTTACTTAAGAACGGATTGGGTTCACAGGGCCTTTACCAACCCTTGGTTGGTTGGGTTAAGCAGGACATCCTGTAGCCAGCTGCTAGCGCCACCTGTTGGTGGGAGGTAAAATTGATGTGCTGATATTACCTGCTGCGGTCACGGTTTCATCCTTGAAGTTTGGTTTCACCTTTTTTTTTTTTTTTTTTTTTTTTACCGTAGAAGTGCTTTTATACCTGGCAGGTTGTCATTATAAGAGGTAGCACACTTACCTTTGTGGGAAGAGAACTAGGTGAAAATGATAAGGAGGGATATTTTGGTTTCAACATGAAGGTTAATTTTCTGGAAAAAAAAAATCCCCAAAACTCAAGGGGCTACTTGGAGTAGTGAGGTTCATGTCTGTGGAAGAAACCAAGTCATGCCGAATCTTCCCGTGTTTTAAGTGATGGGGAGAAATCGATCCCCGTGTTTTGGTGGATGGAGGGCATTCGTGGGTTACCTACTTTGAGTTACATACAGTTGGCCAGTTGAGTAGTGGTCTGTCGGTTTTGTTGTCTTATCCAGGGAGGAACTTTTAGGCCAGGCCAGAAGGAAGGAGGGTACCACAGGGGCAGAGCAAGGGGGGGGGGCGGGATATTTGGGACAGGTTGGATCTGGCAATGTTTATCCTCCAGATATGGCTCTAACACTCGACCAAGAGATAGGCAGAGAGAAAGGAGAAGTGACTCAGAGAGTAAAAAGTCCTGACCTCCCATCACTTCCCGGACTGACCTCCCACACAGGACCATTTGTAAACAACCCAAGGAAACAACAGTTCCTTGTAGATTCTATAAATGTGATTAAGGCTGTGCTGGAGACAGGTTCAGAGTGTGGCCGAGGGCAGGCATCAGTCAGATAGGACCGGTCAGGGGTCTGGGGCAAGGGCTGAGCCCCAGCCTGTGTGGTTTTCTCATCAAAGCCCATCGTTGATTCAGGGCCTGGGTGCCGGGCCCTTTGTGTCTTGCACATTCCCAGGGAGGCAGTCCAGTGAGGGTTTATGGAGAAGGGGCCGCAGAATAGGACAAACGCTGGCTTGAATGCTAGCATGGCTACCTGTTAGCCTTGTGAGCTTGGCTTGATTGCTTCACTACTGTGAGCCTCAGTTTCTTCAAAGGGCAGTGATTGCACCTTCCTTACCTGATGGGCATGAGGATTGAATGAGAGCTCCTTCATAAAGCACTGAGTACCATGCAGGCACATTATTATTGTTGTTGTTATTATTACATTAACCTCTGTCATTGAAAACCATTCTCACCCTCCCTGCACCTTCCTTGCTTTTCTACGGCCGAGGACCTGGTCATACACAAATTTGATACTGAAATCCCCCAGCTGGACCTCACTTGGTTAACAAGAATCACTGGGTCCCACACATGAAAACACCCATGTCCTTGACCATCAAGGACCACCCCCTCCCTCCCACCTTCTCTGAAGCGGCAGGAACAGAGATGCAATTGAGAGCCTTGGGTCCTGACATAAGGCAAGATATACTCTGAGATTACTCAATGTTCCCTCAGAAAGAAGAAGAGCCGGCCCATCCGAAAGGACGTCTGCGCCGGAACTGAGCACCCACGAGGTCACCTTGAAGGGCCTGCAGAGGAATCTGAGTCCTGGTGGCCTTAGGCAGCCGCATTACTGGTCAGTATGTGTGTGTGTGTGTGTGTGTGTGTGTGTGTGCGTGCGCGCGCACACGCACACACACCTGCATGTTTCTGTAGTAACCTGTCAGGAATCCCTCTAGATGTGCAGTAGCAGGGGCAGGTTGGTGCAGTGGGAATCATACAGGCTTGAGGTTTGCAGGGCCAGGTACCTATGCCAGCTCTGCATCTTCCAGACGGTGTAAGCAGGGAAAGACAGCTTTATACCCCCAACCTTGGGGTCCTCATCTAATCCAGGGGACGAGAAAACCTATTTTACATGGCATTTGCTAGTTCAATGGATTTAAAAAGAAAATATCTGGCTAAAGGTCTTGGTACCTAGCAGGCGTTGGGATAGTGGCTTGTGTCATTTTTCTGCATGTTGGTCCCACGGAGGCAGGGTTAGCCTCTCCAGTGATTATGTCATGCCTCCCTCACTAGGTGATCCTCCATCAGTAGCTGCCTCTCTGTCTCTCTTTTCTGTTTTGTAAAGGAATTGTAAGAAAGCATTGTTGGTGAGTCTTCTCAGCTTGCTATTGGTGGGGATAGAAGCAGAAGGTTCAGGCAAAGGTATAATATGCAAATGCATAATGCAAAACTCTTTAGGATGGGATGGGGAATGGGGGGCAGTGGGGGGCAGGTGCCTCTCCTTGGGAGTAGGAATGGGGGGCAGCAGGTGGGGTGGGGAAAGACTTTCATTCCATATCTTCATATGTGTCCAAATTTATTTTTAGAGAATTTTTTCTTGTTTTGAGCTCCAGAGCCACCTGTCTCTGAGTTCAGCAAATATTTGCTAGTACCCACTAAAATACTAAGAGCCACCATTTACTGAGCACTGAAAGCACTTTCCGTGCTTAACGTCTAACCCTCAGCTGCCTTGGAAAAAGCTACCTCATTTTACCGATGAGCAAACCAAGCTAGGAGAAGTTCAATCACTTGCTCCAGGACTTCTACTAGCAAAGGTGAGAAGAGCCAGATAATTTATCTGGGAGAAGTAGGAGGAGGATACGAAAAAGACCCCAGACAGCCTCTCCCCTCAAGGACCCGACAATGAACTTGGAAAGTTAACTGCCAGACAGAGCAACTGAGACACATGCCCGGGGTGGTGCTTCTTTGCAAAGCAGTGCTGTGGAAGCAGAGAACGTGGCTAGTTCTGGCCAGGGGAGCGGGAGCCTTTCTGGGGATGCTTGGGCTCAATCTTGAAGCATACGTTCACTTTGCAGGGGGAGCAGGCAGTGGGGTCTGGCCAGTGGGCCTGCGTAAGGAGGTCAGGAGATGGGAAGCCCAGCCAGGAAGAAAAGCCAACCCGCATGAGGAGGTCGGGCAAACCCGGGCTGGGCTCCTTGGGAGAGCCCAAGTCGTGGGAGTCCTGAGGATCTGGTCTTTGGGAGGAAGGGACAGACAAGAACTATGGGTTTTTAGGCCAGTCCCCATGGCTTAAAGGAAGGCAGAGAGGGCCATTCTGAGGATGAGGCCCCCAGGGGGTGGGGCAGGCCACAGCCACCAGAGTCCCCAGCCTGGGTGCAGATGGCCTGCCCCAGTGCAGGTGCCCTGACCTATTTCCACCAGGAGCTGGGGGAGTGGGGAGCTGCAGCTCAGAGGTGGGAACTCTTAGGAGATGTCCTCTGGGGGGGAGGGGGGAGGCCGAAGCCTGGGCAGCCAGTCTGCTGGCAGCAAAGACCAGGAATGACGGGGGAGGATGGAGTGGTCCGTTGTCACAGCAGTTTGGCGGAGGCTGGTGTGAGGAGCAGGGAGACTGGAAAGAGAGGGTGGAAACAGCCAGTGAAGGGTTTTTGCTGCCAGCTGTTCAAGTGTGGGCACTGGGAGATGATTGTTTTTTTCAGCCCAAGAATGTTGTGATCAAATCTACAATCTCTCTCTCTCTCTCTCTCTCTCTCTCTCTCTCGCTTCTGGAGGCAAGGAATCTGTCTTGCATTTTTCTAGTGTGTTCCCAGCACCTAGCACAGTCACTCAGTAGGTGCTCAATTAGTATCTGTTTAGTAACTATGTAGAACCACAATCTATACAGTGTTTATGGGTATACACAGATATGGTAAACATTGTAAAACTTTGATGAAAAGAATACACACTAATGGCTAAGGCAGTGGTCACTTCGGGGAAGGGAGGAAATGAGGTAGAAGTAGAGCAGAAAAAGGATTTCAACTAACTCACTTTTTTTTTTAAAGATTTTATTTATTTGAGAGATAGCAAGAGAGAGAGAGCATAAGCAAGGGAAGGGAGCAGAGGAAGAGAGAGAAGCAGACTCCCCACTGAGCAGAGAGCCCAAGTGGAGCTCAATCCCAGGACCCTGAGATCATGACCTGAGCTGAAGGCAGACGCTTAACCAACTGAGCCACCCAAGTGCCCCCAGAATAAATATTTTTAAATTATAAGTAATAATGTAATAGGAGCCCATGTACTCAGACTGAACAAATGCTTATAATCATATTTCCTTTTTCTTTGTTAAAAAGAAAAAAATGAGGGACACCTGGGTGGCTCAGTTGGTTAAGCATCTGCCTTCAGCTCAGGTCATGATCTCAGGGTCCTGGGATTGAGCCAGAGTTGGGCTCCTTGCCTGGCGGGAAGCCTGCTTCTCCCTCTCCCTCTGTGGCTCCCCTTGCTCATTATCTCTCTCTCTGAAATAAATAAATAAAATATTTTTTTAAAAAAAAGAAAAAGAAAGCAAATTTGTATGCATATATTGTGTTAGATCTATAGAATATCTCTTCTCCAGAACATAGAGTGACCACCCTGAAGCCTTACGGCTTCTTAGCATTACCAGGAGGCCTGGATAATTCTTTTCTTGGTGGTGATCTTTCACAGGCCTACAAACTGTCAGCAGCTGTGGTAAAACTGCTGCTCTGAAGTAGGGAAATCTCATTTGCTTCCCCCCTCTTCTCGATGCCCGTTGTTCGGAGCAATTGTGGATACTATCACACGCTCAGAACTTCTTGGTGGGGAGGATCGCGACACTTGTTTCTGGTGGCTGGACATCATATTAACCGTGTACCTCCTGGCTCACTCCTCGAGTGTAAGATTACAGGATTGTGGATTTTGGTTCCTGCTGCCGTCAGGGAAAGAAGCCATACTCTGCACTCAGAGAATATGTTTGTGTCTGAGCTCTACGTGTTCCTCGCTGTGTGTCTTCCATCCATTCACTCAACCACTCTGAGCCTCAGTTTGCTCAGCAGCAAAATGTGATGACTGAGAAGATAACGAGTGAGCAGATAGAGTGTGTGAAGGTGCCCCTGACTGAGCCTGGTGCCTGGAGGATGCTCAACACCATTGACTGTCTTCCCGCTGAGGGCTTTGTGCAAGCTGGCCTTTGTCCTCTGTCCTGTCATCCCATCGCATGTCCATCCTTCAGGGCCCATTCACATTTAGCTTTTCCTTGAAACCATTCTTCACAGCCCAGTGATGGCTCATGTCACTGACTGCTTAATAGCATAGTCAAATTTTCCATCTGCTTGCTTATTTATTTACTTATGTGTGCCTCTTAGATTATAAAGCTTCTGGAAGCAGCAACAGCATTTCAGGCATCATTGGAGATGCCAACAGTCCCACCAGCATGGGAGGCGGATGCCCTGGGTTAAGGTCAAACCTGAGGCTCTATGAAGCTTTGGGAACTTCAAATTCTTCAGTAAAATGACAATAATCACTTCCCTCACACAGTTTCTAGTAGATCAATTTAGACATTCTGGGTGAAACCTAGTTAGGAAAAATTTAATAAATATTGTTGAGTTAATGTAAGCTGCTTTGAAAAATGAAGTTCTTTACAAATGTCAGACTTGATTTTTAATTCTCCGCAGTAGATAGTAAAAGGCCTTGTATTTACTGGCCACCAAGAGAAAATGCATGCTTGCCTCTTCTCGGGTCATCCAGGTGAAGACCGAAAGAGGCAGCATACAGGCATTGTAAAGCTCACTCTGATGTTAAACAAAATTTTATCTTTGTTCTTACCAGGATCGAGATGACCACAGCCACCCCTTTGGGGGGTACTACGTTCTTCTCATTGAACGTGACCACCAGAGAAGACTTCCTGTACAAGAGTAAGGCCAATGTGGCTTGGCAGCTGGGGGAAGGGTGGCAGGATGAGGACATGGTCAGCTCCTGGTATAGAGGCCAAGAGTGTGGGGTCTGGATAGACTGTCTGGGTCCCAGCCTCACTTGTTCCATATGCCTGCTGTGACCCTGAGCGCATGACCTCACTGCTTTGTGCCTGCTTCCTTGTCTGCAAGATGGGGATATTAATGAAGCTACCCCTGAAGGTTGGTGTGAGACTAAACTAGATGATCCACGTAAGGAGCTTAGAATAGCCTCGATGCACACAAAGTACCTAACGATTATAATCACTTCTATTGCTACTATTATTGTTAGGGAGTTTTGGGGTCTAGAGAGCGATAGACATTTGCATCTCCTGTAAGATGTTCCTAAATGAGTCACCTTAGAATGTAACTGGTTTCATACTGTTCATACCAATTTTGCAAGGCAAAAACATTCCATCAATTCACAAAGGAGTAAATGAGTGTAGGTGGGAGTAACCCTGGGGAGACATTCGCCAGGAGCAAGGAGTCCCCAAAATGAAAAACTTAGCAACCACTCTTCAGAAAACCAATGAATCTTTTTTTAAAAAAGATTTTATTTATTTATTCATGAGAGACACAGACAGAAGGCAGAGGCATAGGCAGAGGAAGAAGCAGGCTCCATGTAAGGATTCTGATGTAGGACTCGATCCTGGGACTCCAGGATCACGTCCTGAGCCAAAGGCAGACATTCAACCACTGAGCCACCCAGGGGTCCCAGTGAATCTTGTGAGGGGGAGTTGGGCCCATTTCCATCACTTTTATTGCTCTGGTACACAGCCTTGCTCATGGAACAGGCCTCCCAACACTTGCCAAGTGTTTACCCAGTGATAACGGCTCCAGACTGTTGCACTAGCAGGAAGCCAATTATTGGCATGACATGTGTCTGCCGTAGAGACCCAGAAAGGGTCACTCTTGGGACAGGGTGACTCTTGGGACAGGGTCCCACATGTCAGCCTGCTCCTTACCATGTGCGGAGACCTACAGAGGCCTGTTGACGTAGCTCAAAACAGTTCTGAAGGGAAATGCAGGGTAGATAGAATCTCCATCAGCAAGATGAGAATCATTCTGCTTTTATTTAACTAAAGGTAGTGATTCTCAACTAGACGATCTTGTCCCCTAGATAAGCTTGCCAGATTTTGAAAATAAAATATGGAACACCCGGTTAAATTTGAATTTATTTTTTTTAATTTCAATTTAAAAGAAGCAATATTTGTTTAGTATAAGGATGTGCCGTGCAATATTCGAGACATACCAAAAGTTATTCATTGTCAGAAATTCTAATTTAAACAGGTATTGTGTACTTTATCTGGCCACTTTATAAGCAAGGGACATTTGACAGCATTTGGACACTTTTGCTTGTCACAGCTAATGGGGAGGTAGAAGCATTGTCAATGATATCTAGTGAGCAGAGGCCAGAGATACTGCTAAATATCGTACAGCACTCAGGACGACCCCCCACAACAAAGGGTTATCCGGACATGATTGAGAAACCATGAATTAAAGTAGCATCACTGCGCTCCCCAGGAAGGAAACAAAAAACAAGTTACTCCATGGCGGATTCCCTACCGCACCCCCTTTTCTTGCCTTCTAGTCTTTCTTCCTGTGAATATCTGGACCTAGTTTTGTTTTTATTTGTAAACCTTTTATAAGAGCACTATATATGCTCAAAAAATGCGCAAATCATAAGTGCGCAGCTGGATGAATTTTCACAAAATGAACACACTTGTGAAATCAGCCTGCAGATCAAGAAGTGAACCACCACCAGTATCCCAAAAGTCCCAGCGTCCCTTGTCACACCATCCCCACTTGGTCAAGGGAACCCTCTGCTCTGACTTCTCCCACCAGACATTAGTCCTACCTGGTTTTAACCTTTATGTAAATGGAAACATACCCTATATACCCTTTTATTTGGCTTCTTTAGTCAACGTAATGTTTGTATGCACATTTTTAATGGATGCAACATAATGTGTACATGTGGGGTGTACATAATATCATATTCTCTTTTCCACACGTCATTCAAAATTATGATATTTCATGAGATAGGCATACCATACCTTATTGAACCATTCCCATATTTAGAATAAATACCGTTGTAATTAACATCTCCCTTCATACAGCTTTTTCTGTATTTAGGATTATTCCTTAGGATAAACTCCCCAGAATCAAACAGATTAAAGTATAACCCCCTCTTTATAAATTTTTTTTGTGTTTTCAATATCAATTCCAACAAGGATGTTGATCTTGGACATGGAATTAGAGGTGTGAAAATCTAAGATATTAAGCTGCAAGGACATTCATTATACCTTGTTTTTCATAGTATAAAATTGGAGACAACATAAATATCTTCAATACAGAATGGGTCAACAAATTATGGCACATGCAAACAATGGAGAACTGGGTAGCCATCAACAGTCGTGAAAAACAATGTAGTTACATGGAAAGACGATGAGGAGATGGTTGTAAAACTGTGAATGGAACATGGTTCCGTTTTTATCAAGTGCATATTTTTCCACTTTTAAGACTATTTCTTGGGCAGCCCTGGTGGCTCAGTGGTTTAATGCCAGGGCGTGATCCTGTAGTCCTGGGATTGAGTCTCACGTCGGGCTCCCCGCATGGAGCCTACTTCTCCCTCTGCCTGTGTCTCTGCCTCTCTGTGTTTCTCTCATGAATAAATAAATAAAATCTTAAAAAAAAAAAAGACTATTTCTTTAAGGTGGATTTCAGACATAGGATTAATAAATTATCCAAGAGTTTTGGTGGCTAGGTATTTAATGTGCATATGTGCATATACATAATGACGTTGGTGAATGTATATATGTGTAGATGATCAATGGTTCCTGGGGCAATGAGTTCCCTTTCTTGGCTTGTATTTATATTTTCAAAATGAGTTACAAAATCACATATTACTTTTATATGATGAAAAAGAAGGAAGGGTGTTTTGCTTGCCTGTTTCACAAAGGAAGTTAGATTCTGTTCTAGGAGTGATAATAACAGGATGGCCTGAGACAGAACTTTGGCAGGTTATGTGCTGAGGACGCTGCCCTCCATGTCCCCCTGGAGGTAGGGGTGCACTGCTGCTCTAGAAATGTCTCTGTCCCGGGGTCAGCAGTCAGGGTACTAGGATATCCCATAGTCTCCCCGCCTATCTAATGAGGATGCAAGGTGCCGGGTGTAAGTCCCCCTCCCAGTCTCTGAATGCTTTCCTTTGTTTCAGTTTGCACATTTGCCATTTCCACCCCTCTCCTCGTAGGTTCCGGAGCCATCGTTGCTGCCATTGTGGTAGTTGTCATCATCATCTTCGCCGTGGTTCTGATCCTGCTAAAGATGTACAACAGGTATAGGATGCCCTGGGCTCTGATGATCTTGTGCCTTCGGTGATGTCAGAATGAATGGGAACTAACATTTATAGGTGCCAGCAGTGTGCTGCAGAGTACCCATGAGTCCATCATCAAATGCACTAACCTTCTGTGGGTCCTTTTTTGACCTCTGTTCTCCTGTAGAAACTTTATAGTAACCAAATATTTTTATACCTGGAGAAATATTTTTAAATATAATAATCATCATCACAATGCTAATGCCCCTGAGCACTGTGGTAAGCCCTTGTAGGTAAATTATGGTAATAGAGGAATGTTCCAATCCTTTTCTCTCCAGGAACCCTGTGCTAGGGTGTGTTGAGTGGATCACATGAGTATTTGAGGAGACAAATACTGGAATGCCTGTCACCCCAGCTATTATTTGCTGGGGACCAAATAAGAGAAAATAATATCATTTGATTGCATAAAGAATAAATGTGTTATCACCTCACGTGTTAGCATCTCTAAGTCACAACTTTGCTAGAAGGTTATTCTTCTCAGGCAAGAAATCAAAATAAAGAGATTAGGAACACAACCACATCACAGCAGACTTGGAAGACATTTAAAAAAAAAGAGTAGAAGTGTGTTTATTGGTGAGGAAAGCCATTTACAATGTATCGGCAAAGTTTACAAAAATAATATGTACATTATGATTATACATGTGGGTTACACACATAATCAATGAAGATTAAAATATTTTTTAAATATTTTATTTATTCATTAGAGATACAGAGAGAGAGAGAGAGAGAGACAGAGAGACAGAGAGAGTCAGAGACATAGGCAGAGGGAGAAGCAGGCCCCCCTCAGGGAGCCTGACGTGGGACTCAATCCCTGAACTCCAGAATCACGCCCTGAGATGAAAGCAGAGCTTAACTGCTGAGCCACCCAGGCATCTTTTTTAAAATATTTTTTTAAGATTTTATTTATTTAAATCAAGGAAGATTCAAATGATACACAGCAAGATGTTAACAACCAGTGTGTCTGCATGATGGGATTGCTAATTGGTTAGTTGGTTTTGGCAGAGGGAGGGAGTATACTTCTTTATTTCTGAGATGCAAACAGGCATTGTTTTTATAATAATCATGTTTTATATTATGTGTTACATGTATATAATATACATATAAAGATCTCTATGTGCCACGCATAATTCTAAGTTCCTTATGTGTGTATCAACTCATGTAATCCTCACGACAACCCCACCAGGTGGGTATTTTTATATCCCCCAACTTTATAGCTGTGAAACGGGTACCAGGAAATGAGCCAACAAGCCCAAGGTCACTCAGCCCTCAGTGGCAGAGTTGGGATTCAAACCCAGTACATGCAGTTTCCAAGAAAATAGTCCCACCACTATATGTAATAATAATAGCATAAGTTATTTTTAAAATGTTGAGGATATTACAATTTGGATCTGCCCCAGACCAGGAAGTGGGATCCAAATGCAACTTCTGCCCTTCATTCCTGCCTGTTATTGTGGGAGCTCTGAGCCCCTTCCCTAGGGTGTAATTTGGGTGGAGACTCTACCCACCCCACTCTGTTTACAATGATGCCTGGGCTGCAACTTAGAGACCAGAGCTTAGTCTTTGGCCTCTCAAAGGCAGGCAAGTCATTTAACCTCTCTGTGCCTCGATTTGGTCATCTTTAAAATGATCTCTTCAACTGGGACCAGTTACATGGAGAATGTAACCAAGTGTGGGACAGTGATGGTTGCATGGAGAATGCCCTTGTTTTGAGGAGTACTTAGGGGTGAAGTGGCATGATGTCTGCAGCTAACTCAAGTGGTTCAGGATTTAGAAAAACACCCTGTGTAATTGTGTGTGCGTGTGTGTGCATGTGTGTTAATGAAGAGAGAGAGAGAGAAGGCAAATGTGGCAAACTGCTGGCAATCAGTGAATTGTTCTGGGAACGATACTCAGGTAATAGTTGTACTATTTGTGCAACTTTTCTGAGCATTTGAAATTTTTAAAAGTATTAGATCAACAAGATGAGATTTCATGTAGACATTAGAATTAATGATTATTGTCAGTCACTGAATTTTCTGGCATATGATATGAAAGATTGGATGTACATTTTAAGTCCATTCTCTTCTCAACTATGCAAAAAGTTCTTAAATATTTCTAGCAATAAACTTGGCAACATGATGAAACTGCAAAATTTAACTCACACTACCACTTTGAACTGAAAAAAAATCATAGTATCTTCATTTGTCTTTAATGTAGTCACCTCTCTGGGTCAGCCCTGGTGGCACAGCAGTTTGGCGCCGCCTGCAGCCTGGGGCGCGATCCTGGAGACTCAGGATCGAGTCCCACATCGGGCTCCCTGCACGGAGCCTGCTTCTCCCTCTGCCTGTGTCTCTGCCTCTCTGTGTGTGTGTCTATGAATAAATAAATAAAAATCTTTAATAAAAAAAAATGTAGTCACCTATCTGAGTCACTTCACCCATTCATTAATGGGAAAAAAATACAACTAAATATCTCATCTGGGTTACACAAAAAATGGAAGGGTCCGACTAGCTGATTTCTAAGGTTCCCCACCCCCAGTTGTAAAATTCTGTGATTGGCAATCAAGCAGCGTGATTTAATGATGATCTATGTTAATCTCGTTGCCAGAGCCAAAATCATAGGTTAGACAAGGTGGAAGACTCAAGCATGCATGCGTATCTCATTCCAGGAAAATGAGGACGAGGCGGGAGCTGGAGCCCAAGGGGCCCAAGCCAGCCTCGCCTTCTGCCTTGGGCCCAAACAACAACAACAGCAGCCAGCACCCTGCAACTGTGACCTTCAGCCCCGTTGACGTCCACGTGGAGACTCGGTGACTGCCCGCGCATGCTGGTGCTATCTTGGCCACCGTCCAAAGAGCCTTCTTCAGTCAAGATCCAGAAGCACATTTCTCCTCTGGCAGCTTCACTATGAGTTCCTTCCAGGATTGGGTCAACGGGAACATCTCTTATGCAATTCCTGATGCTTCAGGCAACCCCCAACCCTGTCTTGCCCTGCCCCACCCTAGCTATATCCATGTCCCTGGTGCCACCCTTCCAAAAGGCTGTGGAAGATTCTGTTGTGATCTGATGAGGTAGAGCTATGTTAGGAATCCACTGAAGCGGGTGTGGCTCTCTCCCCCAAGCACAACTGCTAGACAGACAGACAGCCCAGGAGTCTTCTGGTCAGGAGTCAGGGGTCAGCACATGCTCCCAAGAGTTATCACAACAGGGTCTGCCACTGGGGTCCTATCAGAATAAGTGCTATAGCCATATCTTTGCAGAGCCAAGTGCTCAATCCCATTAATCAGGCACAGGGGAAATAACTTGGGCTAACTAACCAAAAAACCAACTTGTTAATGTAGGACTTGTTCTGGTACTAGATGACCGCTAGCTAGCTTATGACGACAACCAGTCAGCAGATTTTGGTTGGGGGAGAAACAATTCTCCTCAAAAGTTTTCTATTTCATTAGCAAAGAGAGGTGAAGGAATAGGATGACCTTGAGGAATGATGGCCTCTGGGGTCAAAGCTTATTGCAGTGTCCGTGGTCCTTGAATGAGTCTGGAGCTAGTCAGAGCCCCTCCTCTCCCTTTGGGGCGGGATTAAGCCTGACTCAGTCTCATTTCTTGGCTTCCCTCTGGTTTCTGAGCAATCCTCTCTCTCCAGGTAACATTTCCCTCCAAGGACCAGTATTAGAGACTGATCAGATGACAATCCTGTTTATGTCACCTGGGTCCTTCCTGATAACCTCACAGAGATTCAGGGCACATTCAAAGTATGACATTTGCAAACCATTTCTCTCTTTGACTCCTTAGCCTGGAGAACAATCTACTGAGAGGGGAGCCATTTTGAAATTAAGACTTGCCTTCCAAGCCCTACCTCCTGGTTGTGTGGTCTTGGCAGAGTGATGCGAGCGCTCCATATTGGGTTGGCTAACCACGAAGTGGGGATGATGACCTCTGCCTCACAAGCTTACTTTAACTAGTCAAGGACTTAGTAGAGCAGCTCGGGGAGTGCCTGGCACTCAGCAGATGCTTAATAAATGAGAGCCAGCATTATTGTTACAGTATTTCTTCAATGGCAAGACATATTTATTCACATTTTAAAGATTCTGAAATCAGGATATGTCTTCAAATTGATGGGTCCATTAATGTAGTATTTTTTTTCTCTCTCAAAAAGCTGTTTTTAATCAGTTGCACACCTTACAATTAAAGGCATCTTGGAAACAAGGTCATAAATCTTTACTCTGTTGCAGAAAGTGACACACTCCGACATTTAACCTCAAATTCTAAGAGTCTCTTCCTCTTGGAATCAGAAATCTCTTCTGAGGGGAAACTGAGGGTCAGGAAGGTAAGAAGACTGACCCAGGGTCACAGAGTCATGTCATCCCACTATAAAAATGCTCGCTTGGATACGTCTGGAAAAATACTGGCAAATACTTCCTACCCCAAACATCTTTTCTCCCTACTGTGTTTAAATATCTACCAAGTATCAGGTGCTTGGCAAGATGCTTTCATGCAAATTATCTCATAGGATTTATTTTTCCAATAACCCTGGAAGGAATTATGTTTTCTGTTTGCAGCTGCAAGTTGCAGATTCAGAGAGAAAAGGACTTGTCCACAGCCACACAGCTAGTTAACTTGCAAAGACGAGACTCAAACCCACGGCTCTTTGAACCCAAAGTCCCTCTCTCTGTTGTACCACATTCTTCTTTAACATCCTGGCTCAGAGAACATGAGTTTCTTTTGTGGGCCGAACATGTGTCTGAGCAAAGGCCCCTGTATCTCAGCAGAGGTCAGGAGTCTAGCTTCCAAATTGACAGTATGGGGCAAAGCCACTTTGGTAGCCTCCTCTGGGCTCCCATGACTGGAGCCAAAGGCCCCCTCTCTGAGCCCATCAAAGCTCTAAGGATTCCTCTTTCATTTCCCATAAGTCTAATCCCCAGGGAGCAAAGGGTGAAATGGCATCCAACCAGGAAAAGCTATTTCCTGAAGGACTCAAATCCCAAATAGATATGTTTCCAAAAAATTGTTCTGCTTTAAAAAAAGAAAAAAAAATTTTTTTGGAATGTTCCAGCCCTAAAACCAAACTCTTCTGCCCATACTGGAATCTTCCTGGAATTATTAGAGGAATTATTCTCTGTTATATGTTCTTTTGCTAAATGAAAGCTTGGAAGTGGAGGAGGGGAGAGAGAGAGAGGTGAGGGGAGGCCAAGAAAGGGGTTCTAGTGTTTTATTTTTAACTAATGAAGATAACTCAGTAAACATCCTTTGAGGGCACCTATGTGCTAGGTGAGGTGCTACTAAACACACTGTCACTGTCCCCACTCTCAAGGAGGCTGCAGCTGGTCTCCTGGGACAGGGGCCTTGCAACACGGGAATATTTCATTTCTGACAGGTGCCTTTCCTAACTGAGCAGATGCTGCCTTAATCGGCCACTGAATCAACAAAAGATACTAAATGTCTAAAGAAAATGTCTAAAAAATAAAGAGACTTAAATCAAGCATCCGTTGAGTTGACTTCAATTAAATTTAGAGTTAACAAATACCTTTTCTAAGAACTGCCTTCCCCTAACAATGTAAATAGGGTCCTGCGGGGAAAGCCTCGGCTGTTGCAGACACTGTGCTCTCATTTCTAAAGGGCGGTGGGAAAGGTGGGCTGCTGACAATGGGCCTTACCATGAGTTGGAAAACTTGGTAGCTTGATTAACTCTTACAAAAGGAATCCCATTTCAGAGCCTGCTGTTAAACACCAGGAATGCTGATATGTCGAGATTTGGGGGCCCCACGGAGTGATGTAGACGTTAGAATGCAACCCAAGTCACCAATAACGACATTTACCATTAATTGCTTCTGATGGGTTCTGATGTGTTCCAGGTATGTGATGGGCCTTTTATACGCACCAGCTCCTCTAACCATTACAGCTCCCATGTGTAGGAGCCATCACTATTTCTATTTTGGGGATGAGGAAATAGGCACACCGGAGTAACATGTCCTTCTTTTGGTGGCCCTTCTTGTGTTTGGGGAGTCGGCCTCTTTGAGAAGCAAGACCATCTCCTGCTATAAAAGCTGAAAAGGACAGACACTCATTTTCCTGGAGTCTCTTGCTGCTAGGGTGAGGGCATAGGACCCACGCCCTGCCAATCAGGCACCTCTGCTATGGACTTTGAATCCAGAAGTTGGTAACATCAAAGGAAAGGAAAGGTGCAAATATGCTCTGGTGGCAGGTATGTTGGCTTGCTGCATTTCAAGAGGCAGCAACATTAGGAGTTCTAGCAGCATGGCAGGCCCGTTCTTGAGTCCAGCCCTGTATCGGTGGAGTTGGCTATGTGAGCTTATTTTAATAGCAACAGCCATGGCATCTAGCCAAACTGGTTCTTTAGTTTGATCTGGTCCCCCAGTGAGGAAGTATTTTAAAAGGACCTAGAAGGGGGATGCCTGGGAGGTTGAGCGTCTGCCTTTGGCTCAGGGCATGATCCCAGAGTCCTGGGATTGAGTCCCACATAGGGCTTCATGCATTGGAGCCTGCTTCTCCCTGGGCCTGTGTCTCTGCCTCTGTGTGTGTGTGTCTCTCATGAATAAATAAATGAAGTCTTTAAAAAAATAAATAAATAAAAGGACCTGAAAAAATGGATTAGGATTTTTTTAAGTAAAGCTTTTTACTGAAGTACAACACACACATGTACACACACACACGTGTGTGTGACTCGAAACATGTTCACAAAAACTGAGCTCACTTGTGTAACCAGCATGAAGATGAAGAAACAGAGCATTTCCAGCATCCCAAGAGCTCCTTTCCTCCCCCTACCCCACTTACCTCCCACAAAAAGTAACCAGTGTCCTGACTTCTTCATCCCTAGAACAATTTTGTCTATAAGTAGAATTGTGGTGTAAACTCTTTAGTTTCTGGCTTCTCCTGCCCAACACAGTGTTTATAATATCTGTCCACATTCAGTTGAAGGTCGTTCGTGCTCATTGTGGTCATCTTTGATACGTGATGTGTTTTTATCCACTCTACTGTTTGATGTACATAGAAGTGGTTTGCAGTTTGGGTCTGTAACAAGTAGGACTGCTAAGAACAGTTTGGTGGTCATATACATATTTCTGTGGGGAATATTTCCAGTTGAGTAACACACAGGGTGTAGGCATATTTAGCCTTCGTTGACAGTGCTGAACAGAGCTGCACCAACTAACATCCCCACCAGGAGAGTGGGGGAGTTCCACTTGCTCCACATCCTTCACGGACACTAGGATATTTTCAGAATCTTGAATTTCAGTCATGCTGATGGACTCACAGTGGTTTCTCATGATGGTTTTAATTGAATTCCTTGATGATTAGTGGAACTGGTCTCCTATTTCATGTTTTGTTTTTGTTTTTTTGGGTTTTGCTTTGTTTTTAAAGATTTTATTTATTTGAGAGAGAGAGCCAGAGCAGGGAGAGCAGCAGAGGGAGAGGGAGAAGCAGGGTCCCCGCTGAGCAGGGAGACCAATGGGGGGGTTTGAGCTCAGGACCCCAAGATCACGATCTGAGCTGAAGGCAGATGCTTAACCCACTGAGCCACCGAGGTGCTCCCATTTTTTAATGTTTCTTAGCCCTTTAGATTCATCTTTTGTAAAGCTACTTTTCCATTTGTCCCTTTTTTGATTTTGGTTGTCTTCCTTTTTCATTATTGACTTGTAGGAGTTTTATATACATTCTGGATATAAGTCCTCTGTTATCCTGTGGCTTACCTTTATTTTAATAACAGCTTTATTGAGTTATAATTTACATGCCATCAACTTTACCCTTTAAAACATGCAAGTCAGGGCGTCTGGATGGCTACTTGGTTAAGCATCTGCCTCTGCCTCAGGTCATGATCCTAGGGTCCTGGGATCAAGCCCCACATCGGGCTCCCCACTCAATGGGAAGTCTGCTGGTCTCTCTGCCTCTGCCCCTCACCTTGCTCATCCTTCCTCTCTCTCAAATAAATTAAATAAACTATTTAAAAATATATACAAGTCAGTGGTTGTTAGTCTATTCATGGCGCTGTGCATCCATCACCACTAATCAAATTCCAGAACATCACCCCCAAAAGAAGCTCCATATCCATTAGCAGATAATTCCCATAGCCCTCTCTCCCCAGACCCTGACAACCATTAATTCACATTTTCTATGAATTTTCCTATTCTGGACATTTCATATTAATGCGGTCAGACAATATGTAGCCTTTTATTTTTTTAAAAGATTTTATTTATTTATGAGAGAGAGAGAGAGAGAAATTGAAGGCAGAGACACGGGCAGAGGGAGAAGCAGGCTCCATGCAGGGAGCCTGACGCAGGACTCGATCCCAGGTCTCCAGGATCATGCCCTGGGACCAAGGCAGCGCTAAACCACTGAGCCACCTGGGCTGCCCAATATGTAGCCTTTTATGACTGGTGCCTTTCACTTAGCGTAATGTTTTCAAGGTTCATCTATGTCATAGCATGAAGTAGTACTCCCTTCCTTCTTGTGGATGGATATCATGCCATTATATGGCTATACCACAGTTTGTTTATCCAGTTTCCAGCTGATAGATATTTGGATTGTTCCTACTCTTTTTGCTATTATGAATAATGCTGCAGTAAATATTCATGTACAAGTTTGGTGTAGACATACATTTAAATGTCTTGGGCGTGTACCTTAGTAGGGGAATCACTGCATTGTATGATTAATCTGTCCAATTTTTAAAAATATTTCATTTATTCAGGAGAGACACAGAAAAAGGCAGGGACCCAGGCAGAGGGAGAAGCAGGCTCCCTGTGGGGAGCCCGATGCGGGACTTGATCCCAGGATTCCAGGATCATGCCCTAAGCTGATCATGCTGAGCCACCCAGGTGTCCCTCTCTTTTTTTCTTGACCAACTCAGTTAAAGTTTTGTTAATTTTATTAATTGTTATAAAAAACAATTTTTGGTTTCATTGATTTTCTCTATCATTTCTCTATTGTCTCTGCTTTTCTAAGTCTCTTGATGGTGTGTTTTAATGAAAATAACTTTTTAACCCAAATGGTAATTTACCAATGTTCTCCTTTTTTTTTTTTTATATATTTTTTTTTTTATTTTATTTACGATAGTCACAGAGAGAGAGAGAGAGGCAGAGACACAGGCAGAGGGAGAAGCAGGCTCCATGCACCGGGAGCCCGATGTGGGATTCGATCCCGGGTCTCCAGGATCGCGCCCTGGGCCAAAGGCAGGCGCCAAACCGCTGCGCCACCCAGGGATCCCAATGTTCTCCTTTTTTATGAGTTTTTTTTTAAAGGTTTTATTTATTTATTCATGAGATACAAAGAGAGAGGGAGAGAGAGACAGGCAGAGGGAGAAGCAGGCTCCATTCAGGGAACCCGACGTGGGACTTGATCCCAGGTCTCCAGGATCATGCCCCGGGCTGAAGGCAGGTGCTAAACCGCTGAGCCACCCAGGGATCCCCAATGTTCTCCTTTTTAATTAGTGCTTTTTGTATCCTGTTTAAGGAATCTTTGCCTACCTGAAGATTTTGAAGATTTTTCTCATATGTTTTCTTCCAAAAGTCTTATTATTTTACTTTCCATATTTAAATATACAATCCATCTGAAGTTCATTTTGGTGTGTGTGTGTGTGTGTGAGGTAGGGTCAAGATTCTTTTCTCTTATAGACATCCTATTGACTCAGGAACGTTTCTTCTGAAAAGACTATTCTTTCCTGCAGTGTCAACTTTCTTATGAATCGAGGGAGTGAATATGTGTGGTTTGGGTAGAAATTTCATAGACCAAGAAAGGTGGCAAAGACAGGTCAGGTGGCAGAAAGAAAAGCAAGAAAAAAACTTCAGAGTCAAGGCAGATTGTTCAGCTCATTTTCTCTCTCTTGCTTGCTTATGTTCATGAGCACGTACCAGGCCCTGGAGATACAGTGGCAAGCAAGATGGATATGGTGCCCGACCTCACAGAGCTTACTGTGTAGCAGGGAAGACAAACAATTAAGCAAATTTAGAGCAATTTTGTGATAGGAGGAACTTCAGGTTTTTTTTTTTTTTTTTTAATAAGCCTCTTGCTGGAGTGCCTAGTTCAGCCCAGAGGTTGGTAAGTTGGGGAGAAATCTGCCCGGAAGAAACAACAACTAATAGTGAAAGACTGAATTGGAGTAAGTCAGGGGACGAGTAGAAGGATAGCAAAAGAGATCAAGATGAGCATCCTGCTGGAGAGAGAAGTTTTAGTTTAGCTCACGTCCAAGGGAGCAGTGGGAGATGGAGAGGAGAGGAGAGGGAAGAGAAGAGAGGCTCCAGTATGAAGGATCTTCAGTGCTTGGTTATTTTAAAGGGAGTAGGGAGCCACTGAAGGTGCTTGAGCATAGAAGGGACAGGGTCAGATCTGTGCTTTCAGGAGATTAATCCTGCTGCAGTGTGCAGAGTGGCGTGGCGTGGCGTGGGAGAGACTGGAGG